GAGTTTCCTAGGATTGGCCGCCTACTATAGGAGATTCATCAGGGATTTCTCCAAGATTTCCGTGCCTCTCACCAGTTTGACCCGGAAGAGTGTTGCTTTTACGTGGGGTCCGGAGCAGCAGACCTCGTTTGAGATGCTTCGCCAGAGATTATGCGAAGCTCCGGTGTTTTCCCTTCCGGAGGGGATGGAGGATTTTGTGGTGTATTGTGACACATCGATATCAGGATTGGGTGCGGTGCTGATGCAGAGAGGGCATGTGATCGCATACGCATCAAGGCAGCTGAAGCCTCATGAGATGAGGTATCCCACCTACGATCTAGAGTTGGGGGTTGTAGTGTTTGCCCTCAAAATCTAGCGTTACTATTTATATGGGGTCCGGTGTACTATATACACGAACCACAAGAGTTTGAAGTACTTGATGGATCAGCCCAACCTGAATATGCGCTAGAGAAGATGGTTAGATGTGGTAAAGGATTAAGATTGCGAGATCCTGTACCACCTGGGCAAGGCTAATGTTGTAGCCGATACCCTGAGTTGTAGGGAGGAGAGTGCCCCGATACGAGACATTTTCATGAGATTGATAGTGATAACTCCAGTGTTGGACACCATTCGAGAGGCACAGGTTGAGGCCGGGAGACCAGAGAACCGCAAGAGAGAGAGGGTAGTCGGGCAGGTGACTGAGTTTGTTGCCGACAACCGAGGGCTTTTGACCTTTCATGTTCGGATTTGGGTGTCGTTTGAGGGTGGAGCACGCAACATTCTGATGGAAGAGGCGCATAGGTCACGGTTCTTGATCCATCCCGGGCAACTAAGATGTACTTGGATGTGAAGATAGAATATTGGTGGCCTTGTATGAAGAGGGATGTCGCATGGTTTGTAGAGAGGTGCTTAACCTGTCGTAGAGTCAAGGCTGAGCATCCGCATCCGCATGGCAAGTTGCAGCCATTAGAGATTCCTGAGTGGAAGTGGGAACAAATTTCCATGGATTTTATCACCAAATTGCCAAGGACTGCGAGAGGCGTTGATGCAATTTGGGTGATCGTTGATCGGTTGACGAAGAGCACTCACTTCCTTGCTATCAGTGAGAGCTCTTCTGTTGAGAGGCTGGCGGAGTTGTACGTAAGGGAGGTGGTATCGCGGCATGGAGTTCTGGTCTCGATTGTTTCAGATCGAGATGTGCGTTTCACTTCCAAATTTTGGAAGAAATTCCATGAGGAGTTGGGTACGAGGTTGCATTTTAGTACCGCATACCACCCACAGACGGACGGTCAGAGTGAACGGACGATTCAGATGCTCGAGGATATGCTTCGGGCATGTGTGTTGGACTTCGGGGGAAGTTGGGACACGTATCTGCCTTTGGCTGAGTTTTTTTATAACAACATCCATTATTCGAGCATTGGTATGCCTCCCTTTGAGTTATTATATTGGAGGAGGTGTCGGACCCCTATTTGTTGGGGAGAGGTCGGGCAGCGTGTGATGGGCAGCACAGAGATAGTGCTTCAGAGGACTGAGCAGATTCAATAGGTTAGGCAGAGATTGATGACAGCTTAGAGTTGTCAGAAGAGCTATGCGGATAGGCATCGCTCGGAGCTTGCGTTTCAAGTTGGTGACTTCGTACTCCTGAAGGTATCTCCTTGGAAAGGAGTGATCCGATTCAGGAAGAAGGGTAAGTTAGGGCCTCGATATATTGTTCCATTCAGGGTGATCGCAAGAGTAGGCAGGGTAGCATACCGGTTGGAGCTACCTGCGGAGTTAGGACAGATTCATGACACCTTTCACATATCGCAATTGAGGAAGTGTGTGGCTGATGAGTCGACGGTAGTACCATTAGAGGATATCCATGTGGATGCGACCCTGAACTACGTTGAGAGATCGGTTGCGATTATTGATCAGAAGATCAAGGTTCTGAGGAACAAGGCAGTGCCCCTAGTGTAGGTCCAGTAGCAGCATCGAAGGGGGTCCGAGCTGAATTGGGAGCCGGAGCGAGAGATGCGTGAGCAACATCCAGAGTTGTTTATGGAGTGAGACTTCGAGGACGAAGTCTGATTCTAATGGGGGAGAATTGTAACATCCGGATTTCCAGGTATATTATATTATTCATTTATTTTGAGTTTGGGGTGGAACTCGGAGAGTTGATGCTTAGACTCACCGAGTGGGACCGCGAGTTCTTATCCAGATTGGTGACCGGACTCGACGAGTTGACTCGTGGACTCGGCGAGTCCACGCTGTTAAGTGAAACCCTAATTTCTTGGGTTTGGGATATATTTAAAAGCTCTTATAACCTTCAGTTGTGGCTACCAAACCCTAGAGAGAAACCCTAAGAGAACTAGAGCGTTTGTGAGGAAGGAGAGGCCATTTTTTATCCTTGTGTTGGTGTTCTTGCAAGAAGAAGGTGACCAAAGCAAGAGGGAGCTGAAGAGGGTGCTATTTTGTGGATTTCAGAGCCCAGGGACTTCATATTTGAGGTATAGATTCATTCCTTCTTCATTTTTGGTGTTAACCTTTGGAGTTAGGGTTTTCTAGACCCTTTAGAGGCTTGATTTGATGAGCATTTGGTCCCTTCTCATATTGAGGCTTTGGATCTTGATCCAAAGAGGTCCAGAGACCTTAACCCTTTGATCTTTATGATTGATATTGGGAGGCATGAGCTTAGGATGTCATATTTGAGGTTATTTCTTCAAATATAGTCTTTGGGCCTTTGCATGAGCACCAAGTTCTGAACTTTATGTGATTATCATGCTTGGGAAGGTTAGATCTATGGTTTAGAGGAACAGATCTGACCTCACGAGGTCACTTGAGTTTGAGCATGGCATGAACTCGCCGAGTCCAAGAACAGAATCGACGAGTAGGATTAGTTTTCCCCATGAATCACACAGTTGGTGACTCGCTGAGTTGGGGAAATGACTCGGTGAGTCAGAGGGGATTTAGAGGACCTTAGTTCATGACTGAACTGGCCGAGTCAAGAGCCTGACTCGATGAGTTGGGTCGGGTGGACCCGCAATTCACAATCAGAGATCATTTCGAAGAGTGGAGGGTTTACCCAGTGAGTCAAGTGAGGACCAGGGGCGAGGAGGACACGCATGGACTCGCCGAGTCACATTTGTGCACTCGACGAGTCTGGTCAAGGTTTCACTATTGAGTTTTGTTGACTTTTTGGGTTTGGTCAACAATTGGACTTGCGGACTGTTGAAGGGTAAAATGGTCTTTTAGCCTTCTTAGAGGACATGTGAGAGTCTAGTCTAGCCTGGAGAGCCGTTAATGATTGAGATGATTGTTTATGTGTTTAGGTAGAGGCTAGATCAATGTATATATGAGCGAGATATTACCGAGACATCCGAGGTGAGTCTTCTCACTATACTTTACCTTGATTGGTAATTAGAGTTATGTGACAGAGTTATTGTATGTTATTTATGTGATGTGTTGCACTGCATTATTTCTACGTGATTTATGCCGTGTGTATATCAGAGTATATCAGAGTTAGAATCGGAAGGTTCACAGAGTTAGGACCAGAAGGTCCACAGAGTTAGGGCCCAAGGGCCCACAGAGTTATAGCCTCGAGTGGCTAGTATGTGTTATGTGTGGTATTTTGGGGAACTCACTAAGCTTCATGCTTACAGTGTTTTGTGTTATGTGTTTCAGGTACTAGTGAGGATCGCGGGAAGGCGCCGACATGATCAGTACACACACATGCGAAGTTTTATTTATATGTTATGATCTTGGGATTTTTACTTATGTTCGAATATATGAAACAATGAGTTTTATAATATTGTGAAATAAAGTGTTTTTAAAATGTGAAAATTTGTTTGAATTTTTACGGCGTTACAACCATCCTCCCACTCACCATCAATCATAACACCCGTGATAGCTAACTGCCTCCTCTTCCGATTAATGATACCATGAAAGAACCCTGAATTTTCATCACCCTCAATACTCCACTGAACTTTCGCCTTTTGAGATAGATCAACCTTCGAAATATGATCAAACTCTAACAACTCTTTGAGGATCGAGACTCTACGTTGACGAAGCTTAGTAGTACCATCATTAAGCATAAGAGAAGTGTCACTCGACTCAATCTCCTCCTTCAACACTCTAGACTTGCCCAACAAATGATCTCAGATAGAAGAGTTCCAAATCCGAAGATTAGATATAAGAAGTTGAAGTTTCTTCTTAAAAATAACCTAAGGATCATCAACATGCTCCCCTTCTAAGGCAGTAGACCAAGAATCACAAACATTGTCATTAAAACCATCCATCATGAACCACGAATGAAAAACCCGAAAAGGAGTCGGTCCATAATCCACACAATGCTCCAACAACAAAATAGGGCGGTGATAAGGGATATATTTATCAAGAACCATCCTTGTACTATTGGGAAAAGAAAACATAATACCTTTAGAAACCAGAAAGCGATCCAATTTCTTTAATTTAGACCCCGACTTGCCACTCCACGTAAAACGAGGACCCCCATAGGAACATCAACCAAATCAGTGTAGTTAATGAAGTCATTGAAATTTTTAGCTACACTAGGATAATATTGAGACCCCGATCTTTCCGTGTCATCCTAAACTATATTTAAATCTCCCATAACTATGCAATCTCCCGTAACAGAGCTTATCAAGTCACACAACTGACCCTAAAGAATTCTTTTGCATTCGACTCACTGAGGGGCATACACTGAAATAAACAACATATTTATCCCTAAAGGAAGCCAATCACCCTCAACCGCCACATACCAGTTAGAAACAAAAACACACTTTTGAGAAAAACAATCCGGATCCCAAATGAATAAAATACCCCTGAGGCACCACGAGAAGGAGAGAAAAAAATAAGAACGCGAAACGTTACCCCAAAATAACAAACTGTCACTAGATCAACATTCACTAACTTTGTTTCTTGAATGGCTAAAATGTTAATTTTATGTTTATTACTTAACTTTTTAATCCAAACTCACTTATTAGTGGATCCTGCACCTTGTATGTTAATAGATAAAAAATTCATGGTTATGTGTTATTAAAAACCTCTCCTTTAATAACGCTTTTGATATGAGAATAACACTCATTCATATTAAAACCAATCTTTTCCCCCAATTCCAAAGCTTTATTAGCTTCAATAAGCAAACAATTCCTATATACCGACCCGTCTGAAATAGTATCATTACGCACAAAAAGTTCGTTTGAAAAGCCAGAAGGATGGGTGAGCGAATCTTCTGAGAAATGAACACCCTCCATATGACCAAAACCACCTGAAAATCCATTAGGCCTTGTAGAAAAGGATGGTATCGCAGAAAATGAGGCCACATGAGAACCTGTCGGGACAAAAGCAGGAGCGACAACTCCATCTGCCGGTGACTCGGCAATGGGGGAAGGGGCTGCCAGACGAGATGTTGGAACTTGTTTTGATTCAAAAACACTTTGGCCACCTAGAACAGAAACATGAGATGCTACTGTATTGGGAATAAGAACGTGCTTTGAGACAACATCAGAAACTCTAACTATTGGAAAAACTGCAGAAATTTTAACACAATTCCTATTTTTCCACTAATGACATTGTTGCATTTTGCTGATTCTTTTACGAATCCTTGACTATTAAGATCCTACGAATTGATTTTTGTAGTTTCATCCTTGTTCATTTTCTCTAAAGTATCATAAATGCCAAAATGGTCTAAGGAAATATCCTCATTATCGCCCAGAGAATAATTACTATCAACATTATATTGGTGATCATGAGAATCAATATCTTCAATCTTTTTGTGTGGAAGGTCGGAGATTAATGAAGGAGTCCAACCCTGGGCATCTTTGACTCTAACATTAAACACTTCACCATCCACACGTACTTGCACCACAACAGAAATAACAGATTGGAAGGTTGTTAAAATGTAAACCTAATTTTTGTAAACATCTTCCCCTAGAGCATCAAGTTGAGCAATAACCCCCCACTTAGAAACAATTTTTCTGAAAGAATCTTTACTCCAAGATCATAAAGGTAGACCTTCGCTATCAAGCCAAACAATAAGTCCCAAAGAGACAAAATTTCGATCCCATTCATGTTTTTCCAACAACCAATGATCCATAGAATCACTCTTCATAAAGCTTTTGCATGCATTTTTGGACTTAAATTACCCATAACCCACCAATGCATCTCATCTCAAATTTCGAAAAACCTTATTCTAAACACAACATACATAGATTAGGAAGAGTTAGGAAATCTCTAGCCTTAACAAGACACACACGTCTCTTCTTTTCAACAATAAAGTCACCAGAATAAAGGTCGATAACTTCATCTTTTTTAACATTACTAGGTTCATGATAAGATGATCCTTTAACAACACTTGCATATGATTGATCATGTAAAATAGGTTTCATGACATTACTACTCCCACCACGTTTATTCAAAATACTGTCATCTTTAGGAAGATGTGAGGTTGATGCGAAAAGCTTATGTGAACCAAACCATACATCACACAATTTCTTGATCATATTATCTTCACTAATAACCCCAACGAATCTAATGAATCCAAACCTTTTACCCATACGTGACAATTTTCTTGAAATAAAGACATTGATAATCTGACCCAACCGTCCACAAACACGCCAACGATCTGATAATTGAACCGAGTTTGGAAAATTGGTAATGTAGAAAAACGAAACTGAAGAACTTACAAGAACCCTTGTGTGTTCGAGAATGTCCCATTGCAACCTATTCTTATCAATCAAGATTCTATGCTTCTTCCCTCCCTCGTCCATCCATCTTGAATGCATGGTTACAATGATCGTAAGTAAAAGAGGCAGATAACCCCATCGGCGTTAGGTCTTGCCGGTGAAGGTAGCGTTTGAAGGTTCAATTTTCGAAATTGCTCACAATTATCTTCATTTATTGATCTTATAAACCCGCACGTATTTTTCATTAGACTACCTACTATTGCTTTTACTTTGTATTAGTCTTTGATTTTTTTTTTCTGCACAATTTTTGTTATATTTTCATCATTTTTAGGAGGGGTGACCGCCTAAATTTAACGGAAGCGGAACTGACGGATCCTAAGATGTTGGAACCGGAACCGGAGAATACCCGCTTTAATTATAACAAAAATTAGTTTTCACGGTCAAATCCTCATTTTGAATGCGACAAAAATTAGTTTTCAATTTGCCTCGTGGGTTTTACCATTAAATGTACCGAAAGGCAGTTTAATTAATTGGATATGAGTTAAAAAAATGATACTGAACACAAAATTGAGTCATGTATTGCATGGGTTTTTGTTTTCACTAGTGCATGTTGCATTGATTCACTAATTGATGGACTTTTAAATATTAAATTGTTCCATATTTCTAATCACTTGTGATTTCTATAATTTTTTTTATTAATGTAACCGAAGTACATATTTTTTTAGTTCACTATTGTAAGTTCTGGAGTATTAATCTTAGTAAGTGTTCACACTTCATATTTATAAGAATCTGAAAAAAAAAAAATGAAGGCGAAGATAAAATATTTATAACTATGTAGTAATTTAGTTGTATATTAATCGAAAAGTTGTAGTTTTGATGATTCTATACATATGCTTAGATATATGACAATCATAAATTACTTAAGCTCTATATATAACCGGTTCCGACGGGTATCCATCGGGTAGCGGTTTCGAAATAATGGGAACCAGAATCGGAACCGCTTAAGGCAGTTCCGGTTCCAGAACCGGCGATTCCGAGGTGGTTCCAGTGGTGTAAGTGAGCCGAACTACTAGTGAGCTACTCGGGATTAACTCGTTAAAAGCTCGACTCGAAATCGAATTAAACGAGCCTTAGCTGAGCTCGAGACTAAATATGAAGCTCGTTTATTAAACGGGCTCGAGCCGAGTTTCAATTAATAGACTCGCAAGCCTAAACTAGTTTAAACAAACCTATACACACATACACACACACACACACACACACACACATATATATATATATATATATATATATATATATATATATATATATATATATATATATAGACACACACACACACATAGAGGCTCGTTTAGGCTTACGAGCCCACTAAATTGTTCACGAGCCGAGCTCGAGCTTCATTTTAAGGGTCAAATCGAGCTCGAGCTTCCTCAAAATAAATGAGCCGAGCTCGAGCTTGGTCAAGCTCGGGCTCGGTTCGGCTCATTTATACACCCTAGGTGGTTCTTGTTCCAAAAACGGTACCCTGTTCCATTGCTCATCCCTAATTTTTAGCTCATATATCAAAGTAGAGCAACTCTTAAGTAAACTATATCATTTATAGTAAAATAAAAATTAAAAAAATGTAATGCAAAATACTGATCATTAACAAGATCATGTATTTATTTTTCCACACCATTGGCTGCTAATTCCACTAATGATCACAACCACAACCAACAAAATGTGAATAAATTGTTTGCGAAAAAACTCAAATTATTGCAATAATATATATGTTCAACTATGAGCATATAACATTCTAGCTTATAGAAGTTTAAGAGATAATCTCGACATCTCTTCAGCCATAACTAGAGGTTTTAAAATGTTAATTCCAAGTTTGTATCGTGATTACCATTTAAAAAATGCTAACTTAAACCGCCAAAGGGTTGAGAAAAATCATTAGAGACAATACGAATCTCAAACTATTTGGTGAATGGTTGTATCGCAAGTAAATGCTTTAAATAATCCAAAATATAGTTCCTAATGTATCCGTATCGGTGACATCTCTCAAAACTGTTGCAAAGCAATACAATTCCTTTCAACATATCTTTTATCCAATTATATTATCACAAAATATATTTTAGTGTAATGGATTTAACAAGTGTTATAAGAATAATGTTTTAGTTATAATTCTGTCATTCTTGAAAAATGCAAATGCAATGACTAATCTGTCTTTTCTAAAAGATCCAAATATATTTTAGTGTAATGGAGACAACTTTCTTGTCGCACTTCTAAACGTTAATGTAATTGTCTAACTTTTAACAATTATTAACAACAATCAGATTATCTTTTAAGTCGGTTATTGGTTCATTTACAACTTGAAAATTAAATGGTAAATTGCAAGAAATAACAATTTACTTTACTCTTTTTACTTTTTAACAATAATGACAATGTACTTTACTCTTATGATCTTATCAAATACAAACTTTGTTCAAATCAAAGAACTAAAAAAAAAACTATCAGATTGCGAAAAACAGATCAACAAGTCAAAAATTATATACCCAAACAACAACAATTTCTAACATCTGATTTACGAATTTAATCAAATTCCAGGGTTCAAGTCTCCATGCAAAGTGACATGATTAGCTTAAGCATTAATCAGAAAGCAGACCAGAAAACATTAATCCCTATTCAATCATCTATATACTATCGTAGATGATGAAATATAACTACAATAGCTCAAATACTTGCTCATAATAAATCACCATATTAAGCAAATAGCACTTGAACAAAAGGCAAAAGAATGTCGATTGTCGAACCTCTTCAAATCGAAGGCAGAAAATTTGGATTGGGGGGCCGCTGTGATAGTGGGTCGTCGGATCTGAAAGCCATCGGAGGGATGGAAGAGTGGGCGGCAGCTACACGCTTACGTTTGTATGGGCCTACAGAAGAAACGTCAAAAGATCCGCTAAACAACAGACAAAGATAGAGAGAGTAAAGGCAAAGCGTATCTTGGGGAATTTGTAGTCAAAGATGCCATCATTCGTGGGTTTGTTTAATAATGCACACAAGATGTCTTTATGAAATTCCTGCGTCTGGCTAGCTACTTATTAATCTATTGTGTTTGACTTTTGTAGGGTTAAACTCTTGTTTCCTGATGCTCCAATCACCATTCTTGCTTTCTATATTTGTCATCAGTTGAGTGCTAGAAGAAGAAAGGACATCAAGAATCTCTTCTTTTACTGAAATTTATATTACACAATTGAAAACAGAAAGTGAGGTGTCTCTTCTAAGAACCTGGAGTTATGTGTGTTTTGCCCTACGCCAGGTATCATCATCATATACCCTTAGACTCCTCGTTTCTTCTTGTTGTTTCTTTTTTGATTGATGCGTTGAACCATGTATTGTTTTTTAGGTTTAACTATGTATACCCTTTTGCATGTTGCTGATTTCATATAATCTGATATCAATTATCTTCGATTTGGATTGTTTTGCGTTTGGATCATGTTACTTTTTTGAACTTTCGAACAGTTTTCCCTTACTCTCAGTCTACATTAATTTTCTAGTTTAACACTGCTTCATCTTAAGTTACAACATTGTTAATGTAAGTTTATAGTACCAAAAAAAGAAAAAGAAAATGGATGATATATAGTCATTTTACATTCATATGTCTTGAATTTGAAAGGAACTACACATCATAGACAAAAAACTATAATAATGAAAGTTTATAGTTTTCTGATTTAATGACCTGAATCATTTGGTCAGATATAAAAAGTCCTTTTCAAGTTTCAACAACTACTTTTTAAAATTCCCTAAAAGTTAAACATCATTTTCATGGCTTTCATCATCACCAAAAGTTTCTTCATTCTTTAATCCATGATTTCCATTTATTTAATCTATTACTTTCAACAACTGTCTCATTAATTAGTTAATATATATTTCAATCATTTTATGCATCATACAAACTTGTCAACACTAATAAATTTAGTGCATACATTTCTTTCGTATGATTTTTCATGATACTCAACGTTGGATGTTGTATCGTTTTAATGGTTGAAACCACTAAAGATCAGACAAATATAGAGAGTAAAGGGTATCTCAGGGAATTTGTAGTCAAAGATCCAATCATTCATGTTTTGAAGAAATTCCTGAATGAGAAGTATACGCGTATATCCTATTGTCTAAGTCCGGCTACTTATTAATTTGTTTTGTTTGACTTTTGAATGATTAAACTCTCTTTTCCACAAGAATCTCTTCTTCTTGAAATTCGTATTACATAGTTCTTTGAGTTCTCCTATTATTGCTAATCATCATTATTATGATTAATCATGGAAACAAGATAACATCAACTACATGATCTGAAAAGTGTTTGATGGAAATGGAGGGAAGAGTTTATTCAGATTTGTATAGAAACTCAAGTGAAGATATGTTCATAAGAACATTAATGGAAAGCCCAGTTGGAATGCCATCACCAACCATGGAAATTCTCGGTTTCAAGAATCTTTCTAATAACTTCCGTGCAGATAGTGAGGAACTTTTCAAGAATTGGCTCACTAATGGAGAGGCAAGAATTTTTCTATTATTCTTTATACTTTTTAAATATATACATATTCTTTTCTAAATTGGTTTTATATCACTAGAATCAAGGCCACAATCCATCAAGTTTAGTCCATAATCGTTCTCGACAATTATCTAGAAGGTTGCTTGTTGATCAAGCTACTCAACAAAATAGGGTTTCATTTGACAGAAAACCAAGTAATGAGAATTTGATACCACATAGTTCGTTGGTAATTGGTGAATCGTCAAATGACGTAAATGCCCATCCTATTAGGAATGTGGGGGCTAGCAATTTATACTTGGCTAAGGTTTGTTAATATTGAGAGTTAGGATTGTGTACAAATATTTGTTAAATGGATTCTATTGTTATCTTACTTTTTTATTTTTTTTTACAGGCATGGTTTCATAGTTCTCAACCAATGACAAGAAGTCGTTCTTCTGAGTTAAGGTATTAATTCTTGAACAATTATGTAAACAAAACCCTTTTCATCATCAATATCACTTGATTATCTATTGGTGATTTTAGTGTTATCAAGTCATTTTAAGTAACTGAATTTTTATAAAAGTATTAAAGACAACTTTGACTATGATCATTTATTTTGGTCAGTTCAAACTAATTCAGCTCGAACCGACCAAATTTTGGTCGGTTCGATTTTAATTCAGTTTGAACTGATCAAATGCTTTTGGTCTGTTATTTTGGTCAATTCAAACTAAAACTAATGTAGTTCGAAGTAATCAAATTTTGGTTAGTTCGAATTGACCGGATTCTTTTGGTTTGATCGAACCAACCAAAATTAGTTCAAACCGACCAAAGTCAATTTGTATTGACTATCAATAACCGTTTAATAATATTAATTGATTTTCACACACCATGTTTTCGTTTATTATTTTATACTATCTACATGTTACAGAAAGAGGTATGTTGCAATGCAAAACTCTCAAACAGCAATAGGTATGGAAGCAATGCATAATGCATCGGGAAATCGAGTCAACCAATTGAAACAACAATTTGTGAACCAAAGTCAAATCAATGAGGCTTCAATGTATCATACAAATGGCTTCATGCCTCAATCACATTCATCTTCATCTAATATCAATGAATTACAATTTGGCACCATTGATAAGGTATCTTCCGTTGTAAGCATGTTAAAGGGTACATTAGAACAGAAGAAGCTTAGAAGTCAAAATGAGAAAGAAGCAATTGAAGATGACTCTTTAGGATATTATTCATCTATGAATAATGTAAATGAGATTCAAGATTACGAGGTACAAGGAACATTCCAAGATTTATCAACTAATGAAATGAAGGATTCTGGGTTGTTTCAAATAGTTCAAGGAGGTATAGATGCTGAAATGGATAATTTTGTGGCCCCCACGAATCATATCCAAATGAGTTTCGCATCTAGAGAAGCTTCTCAAAGTGAATCATCACCTGTAATTTCAAATGGTTTTGATGCATGTGATGGTCAAAGCAACTCTGGTCAAACACCAAGTGCTTGTGAAAGCTCTAGGAAGCAAGTTGGAATTGCAAAAACTTTAGGTTTATTTACTTTTTTTTTTATCTTTAATTTTACTAAGTATATATAGAAATGTTAGATAACTTATTTATTATCTCATGTTCCATAGGTACGCGAGAACAAATGTATGATAATATTCAAGAAGACCATAAGGTATTGACTATTGATAGTTTGCAAATGTTTAAAATTAAAATTATTTTACACCATTTTTTTATATTTCCAGCAGAAAAGAAGTTTGATTCGATTTGGATCAGTGACATCAGCTGCATCAGGTAATATTCATTGTTACTTCATTTTCATATGCAAATTTTGTAATATAAAATTTAAAAAAAATTATGTAGTGGACAGCAGGGATCCTACAAAGAAACGAAGAGTGGAAAGGTCAAGAAAGTAAGTAATGCTATCTTTGCATTTTCAGGAAGCATACAATCTTTTTTTTTTGTATGTATGTATATAAAATATTATTCTTTATATTTGTCTGGTTAATTTATTTGTTGATGATGATTTATATATGTAGAATGGCAGAAGCAAAAGGAAGAACTCAAACACCTGTGATTTCAACAGATATGCAATCTATTTTGAAGCGATGTGAAAATCTTGAGAAGGAAGTGCGTTCACTCAAACTTAATTTGGCTTTCATGAATAGGTAAGAGTGATTTTTCTCTGTTAAAATTAAAGTTACAACTTTCTTTTGAACTTTGATTTCTTATAAAAAAGTATATATATATATATATATATATATATATATATATATATATATATATATATATATATATAGGCCTAGGTTATTCTATTCAAAGTAATTATTGTGTTATTGTATGCATAAATATGGGGCAATCAATTTTACTTATTTTAAGAAAGTGATTAATATATATTATTGAATTAAACATAATTGAAAAATATCATCTTAATTAATTACAAGGGTAATTTAGTCAAATAATATAGATTTAACAAAGAAAAATTGCATTTTTAAGGGATCATATATTCTATTAATTTAAAAATCCGATTTTACGAATTATAATTCTTTTAATTCGGACATTCTGACAGCATATGTTTATGAGTATATTCAAAAATAAAAATATTCTTGAACCATAAATAATAAAAGTATTCTTGAACCTATTTCTTGATCACGAATTTAAAAACTTCTTGTAGAATAACAAATTCTTGAACAATCAATTGAAGTATAAAAACAAAAAATACATTATTTCTTAGAGAATACGGGTAACAATTGTTAAGAATTCCATTTATTGTTAAAGAATAAAACTAAAAAAACTTTCAAAACGGAAAACAAAACATCAAAATCTTACAAAGACTAAAACATTCTAAAAGAATAATGTTTCTTAGAATCACTTTCACTTTTATGGTCCGTTCTTCAAGCATCAACTTCTGTGATTCCAACAAAATTGGAATTCTTGATTCAATTCCAACAGAATTAGAATTTGTGATTCCATTCCAATAGAATTGGAATCTCACCAAAATCATCCATTGAATCATCTACATAAACATAGTTGATACCTTTTCAGAATTCAATCTTGTCAAGATCCTGCACTAACCAAATAAATGAAGTGTTAAATCAGAAAAAAAAAAATATAAATTGAAATATGAATCAATTCATACAATAAAATTACCTAATTACGATGATAAAAATAGTTTTTGTAAGATATGGATGATCAAAAAAAAAAAAAAAAAAAGAAAAGAAAACACCTTCTGGAATCGATGAAGAAGTTATTTACTACCATTTTCTTTCTTATTCTTAATTTGATACCATGAACACACGAAAGTGTGTGTTTTTACTCCTAAGGGTCGACTAACCCCCTCCATTTGGCCTACAAAATCACCACAATCAAACCACTCTCCTTTACCCATTCGATGTCCCCTCTTCCCTCTATATTTTCCTGTCAAAAATCAAAATCAAACACCAATTCCTCCAATGATTTCTGTTCAAACAATAAAAAATAGAAAGAAGAATATTATTGGAGTTGTTGGAGCAGCCCCCATCCACGCACCTTTCAACCACCGAGAGAGAAACCCAACAAAGTGGGTGTTTACTTGGAGCAAACATGGGTGGCGGCTACCCCTTCTGATCCCTCGACCTCTTTCCTACCGCGACGATGCTGCTGCCTTACCCCATCCCGTTCTTCCCTTCGGCACTTAGAACCTAGGAGACCACATCGCTGCTTCTTCACGTCTTTGATGCTCCGGCCTCATCGAGCCCCAGAGACGGCGATCCTCCTCCTGATGGATCCACCAGTTCCTACAGGGGGTTTAGGTTAAAATCCAAACTTTGGATCATGGTGGTTGAAAGCTTTCGATCGAATCCTACGGTGGGGTTTTTCAAAGTGACATCGGTGGTAATTAAAAGGGGATAAATTAAGTTAAAATCAACTAGCAAAATTATAGGAAAGTATTTGGGGAAGTTGTTTATAAAATTACCTAATTACCCTTATTTATTTATTTATTTATTTATATTTAAAATTTTGATTGGCCTACATTTATGCATACAATTACACAATAAATACTTTAAACACCTGAACTTAGTTATATATATATATATATATATATATATATATATATATATTATATATATATTATATATATGTGCGTGTGTGTGTGTGGGGGGGGGGGGATGAAATATTACTTGTTGTCATGTAACATTGATGTGTATGCATTTCAGGAAGGATTCTGAACAAACAAAGCAGATTGAAGAGCTTCAAAAACAGCATGAGGAGATGAAAGATGAAAAGGAACGTCTTTTAGAAGAGATTGAAAGAATATTGTCTGAACCAGATAAGATGTGATCATTCAAATAATTGATGAACCAGTGGGTTTTTTTTTTTTTTTTTTTTTTTTTTTTTTTTTTTTACATTAATTGGTATGTTTGTGAATCATGATTATGCACATTATTACTGTAAGAATATTGCTAATTTGCTATGATATCTAAATTTTTAAATATGCATTATTTTTACAATGTCGTATTGAACAACACACAATTATTATTAGTGTATTACTTTATATTATCGTATTGACTATATATAGGTCCATGTATGTTTGTATATTTTCTTATGTGAACACAATTTACAGGAAAATAGTATCTCTAATAGGGTATGATCAGAGTAGTAAACTATGTACTCAAATCTCTCTCTCTCTCTCTCTCTCTCTCTGGCTCGCTCACATCGACAAAACGGATGTATGGAAAAAATTTAAATCACGAGTCAAGTTATGGATTTATGGGAGTAATTCCATTGTGCTGATGATTCTCAAAAAGGGTACTAATATTGCCAAATTAGTCATTTACTAGACATAAAAACCGTATAAATAATTAAAAAAAGATTAAATATCAAAGGATGGATAGTAATTATTTTTTAAAATAAAATTTTGAAATAAAGAATGAAGACACGTAGTTATAATTTACTATCATATTTATTACATATAGTATTTTACATTATAAGTATTATGTGGTTTTTTAAATTATAAAATTAAAAAAATAATTGTCATGTTGATATTATTTATTTTTAAAATATCGCAAAATAAAAAATATCAAAACCATGGGAAATTGACATATGGAAAAATGGATTTGATTTATTACAGTACATTAATATATGACTTTTTTCATATTTACTCAATCTAATTTCTAAATATAAAGCTTTCAAAATATCAAATTTACCCAAATCAATAATTTAAACATTTTTTAACACTTCATAATCATTTTAATAAATTTCATATTTTTATAATTATAAAAACAAGGGTTTAAATCGTTTTTGGTCAATTAACTTTTGGTTTTGTACCCATTTGGCTGCTTAACTCTTTTTAAGTTTTAAAAGGTCATCAAACTTTTTGTTTTGTGTTTATTTGGTCACTTAACTTTTGGTTTGACACTTAACTTTTGGATTTGTGATCATTTTGTCACCTAACTTTTAAATTTATGATCATTTTGTCACTAAACTTTTAAAATTTTAAAAGTTTTGTGACAAAATGATCACAAATTCAAAAGTTAACTGACCTAACCAAAAGTTAAGTGACCAAATAAATAAAAGCCGAAAGTCCGATGACATTTTAAAACTTAAAATGAGTTAATTGGTCAAATAAACACAAAGTCAAAAGTTTAGTGACCAAAAATGACCTAAACCCTAAAAACAATCAAACTGAGAATGTTATCCCTAATATTATGCTATTGGAATAATCTTCTAACATACTTAAGATTTTTCAAAACATAGAACGTCTCGGCCATCTCGTCTCCTCATCCACCGGTCGCTGTCCGCCAGCTCTGGCAATGTTAACTCACCCGCTAGTTGCTATCCACCATCTTCAGGATGGCTTATTGCCCACACCTACTACACAGCCACAATCAAACCATAGCGAGATATCGCAAACAACATTGTTACTGCACATGCTTAAATACCCTCTTCTTCTGTCACTACTGGAAAATGGAAAATAAAGTACACTGTATTATAATACAGTTGTAACAAAATCCATATTATTAACAAAGTAACGATCCCTATAATACCATAAAAATTCTTTATTAGGTTTGTCAAACATTTAGATTTTCTTGTCCGTGTTTTTTTAATGTAATAAACAAGAGTCCTTGTTTTTTCATCTTACAACCACTTCTCCAAGCCTCAAATTCTCTATCCCTCCCGACAACTGTCGTACCACCATGTCTTCTCTTCTCGACAATCACCACACCAGCACCTCTCCTATTCCCGATGATCATCAGAGCACCGCCTCCTCCCTTCTTTGACCTAATACCAAGGCTTTCATTTTTTGGATATCAGATCCGATGTATGATAGATTATTACGATACGATTGATTATGTAGGGCAAAAAGGATCATATGTACCGTATATCAGATCAAATGTATAACAGATTAGATCAGAGATAGGGTTGGTTTTCATCGCTACTCGGTCTTTGTTTTTATTTTATTATCCACCTATGGACATTCCTTCTTCCTCCCTGGCTTCACAGACTTTATTAAGGCAAGAAATACAGTCCTTACTTTTGGTTAAAGTATTTTGTTTTTATGTATGTTTTATCATATATGTTGTATTCTTTGTATTCTTCCTTACAGACTTTTGATGGTTTTTAGTTTTTTGTTTTCTTCGTTAGTTAGGGATAGCTATTGAACTAGTGTGTATGGGTTCCGGTTGATGTTTCTCAAAGTGTCTCGGTAATTAGAACAACATGATACTCCATAAGCTCTTCCAGGTACCAATTTTCTTCACTAATTTTCCTAATTATTGGGGTAAATTAACTATTAAATATTGTATCCTATGTTTGCTTAATAAAAATTAAATTACTGTTGATGGTTTTGAAGGGTTGTATGGATGTGAAGAATACGTTTCTGATGTCTGAAGGGGATGAGTAGTTGCATATAATCTTCATAGGTATATTTTGGCACTTTGTGCACTTGAAGATGTTTATGCAAATTGTGTTTGGTTAAATAGCTCTAATAATATTCTTACTGAAGTTGGAACATCAAGTGCTCCAGGTGCTTTAAGTATTGAAGAGGATAATTAAAGAAGAAACATGTCCATGAAAATAAAAAGAAGAATCATTTGAAGAAAAGAAAGTTTATATATGTATATTGTAACGGCTGCAGATCCGGGCTAGTCAATTTAGAGACAATGAGCGTCAAAAATAAGTTTTTGAGGAAAGATAATTTAGAAGTATTAATCTTAACCAAGTTGTAGTATATGTTACAAGGGTTCCATACATATAAAGAACGATGGAATCCGAGTTATAACGAAGAAGTTATGGCCTGTCGAAGTTTTACGGCAAAACCGACATGACACCGGTAGATGTAAATAGTGAATTTACGATAGAGGAATTTTTGGCCTTAGTAATCTAAACCAAAGTTGTAGTATACGTAAAATCAAGAGCGTGCATAAAAAGAACGCCCAAATCTGACTTCGTATAATGAAGTTATGAATTTTCTAAGATTTGCCTAGCAATTCACAGCGCAAAACTTGAATTTTAGATCGAGCGGTTTTGGCCTACAGACCTAAATGCAAATTGAAGATCTCATTAATAGGAACTTAACGGTAAAAAGAAAGACGAAAACAGAGTCCGTAAGTAGAAGTTATGAATTTTACGCGGACATCTAACAGTATAATCTCCTCGTACTGTTAAATTTTAGATCGATCGAGAATTAGCCGACAACATCAAAATGAAAGTTGTACATCCTACTTTACCTACGTGTGGATATAAATAACACCAAAAATGGAGCTCGTATGTGAAAGTTACATATTGTAGAAGTCGGAAGTGTGTTGTGTGAAAATGGGTGACGTGGAACAATCTTAGCCATTGCTTTCTCCCCAAGTATTGCCACTAGATGGTGACATGTGGTACCAAGTTCAGCCATATTTCACCCTATAAATAGAACCTCTCGCACCCTCATTATTTTCACATATTTCCCAATCTTTTTTCTCTTTACTTTTTCTCTAGCCCCGAAACCCCCTCGAAAAGCCGAGGGAACCTCCCTAGCACGAGGCGGAAGCCCAGGAGTGCTCGACAACTCCGAGAAGAAGAGATTTTTGGTTCACGAACACTGCTCCAAGCAAATCCTGATTTTCTATAAAACTCACTGTAAGTGAGCTAAGGCTACGCTATTTTTAATATAACTTTTATTTAATTATAGTAACGTTATTAGCAACTTATAATAAGTACTTGGGATATTATTATGGGTTATATAAGTATTGTTTAACACTTATATAATAGTAATAATAGCTAGAATATTAATTAGTCTCGGTGAATAATAGACTAAACTCTAGTGGTAATAATATTAGGTTTCATCGAAGGAAATTATTTTTAAGAAATGAAGCGCTGTCTTAGTTCGGAATCACCACCTTTTCAAGTGAGTGCATCGTCCCTTTTATCTTACACATAAATATGAAGTATTTTGATATAAATTATGTGTTATGTGTGCATATTGTTTGAATACTTGTTGTCTATGCTGGGTGAAAGAATTTTATACATGTTTTAAATGATTTAAACTGTATATGTATTTTACATCTATAAAATGTGTTGGATAAAACATGGGTAGATGTAATAGTTGCTGTGTGACCAAATAAAGTAATGAGAGGCCTCGTTATCGATGTTATTGATGATTCAGTCATCTAGCAGAGTATAGATGACGACCAAGACTATTCTAGATAATCCAGTGGAACGCTAGCAGGTTCGCAACCTGTAGGTGTTTATTTGAAGTGTGTGCTCACCAGAACAACTCCATCCCCTACATGGTTGCCTTATTTGACATGAATTGCTGAGGAACCCATGAAGCATGTGTTGTCACCTCGATGAAAGTCCTTAGACTAGGTCCCTTGTGTTAGATGTTTAAGGGACGTAAAGCAAGGATAACGGGAACGAGTAATCGGGTTTGTTTGGTTTGATAAAGTTAATAAAGTTATCAATTGTGGGTTGAAAACCCTATGTACTAACCAGGTTTCCCAACCTGACCCACTCTGTTTATTTATATCACAGGTGTTGATATGAAGTCACATTACACTGAGAGATTAAGGAGATATAAATCACTAGTGATAATGAATGTAAGTTCTGTTTATGCTTATGTTTCTATATTGATGCTGACATCCCAAATGTTTTAAAATGAATAAAAATTGTTGAGATAAAAATCTTTAAGATCGAATAGATCTTTGAAACAGGTATATAAAGAATGTAAAGCAATACTAAAGAATGGATTTGAATATGTCGAATGATTAAAACTTTCAATCCTCAGCAGAGCTCGATGAAGAACTTCCACTGTAGAGGATCCTAGGGTTACAAAAAGATAACTTGTATAATTACACCGTAAAACCCTAATCTTTTTTTAGTAACGTA